GGGTGACCATCTTGTTACACCCTGAGATAGTCACGTGCGGTGACCAAGTGATAGAAGAGGTTTACGGTTTCACACTATTTGTGCTTTATTCAATTAAACACTACAGAAAACTCTGCTGGGGCTGGAGAGATGGCTCACTGGTTGCTCTTCCACAGGACCCAAGGTTCAATTCCAAGCAACCACATGGCAGGGCACAACCATCTGTAGTTCCAGTTCCAGGGGATCTGGCACCTTCACGCAGATATGCAGGCAGGCAAAACACCAATGCACATAAAATAAAAATAAAACATTAAAAAAGGAAACTCCAGTAAAGGAAAAGCATTAAACTCTGTAGATAAGAGTTACAAGTAAACCGCCCCCATGAACACACGCTTCCTTAGGAATCAAGAACCCCACGAACAAATGATATTTTTCCAGCACTAGAAGACAACAGGAGAAGGTCAGAATTTCATGAGGATCTTGCTATTTCAACTTGACTTTCTTCCCTTTAAAGAAAATAATTCTTTAAGTTCCCTCGTCTAGCTCTGGCGTTGTAAAGTTACTTAGTGAGGAACTGCACAGAGAGCTTTGGCTCCCCTCTTCACGAGCGCTACACAGTTACAGGCGAAACATGAAAGTCCTTTCTGACCTTAAAATGAATACAATTCAGGCCAGTATCTATTGGATATGACAGATGGCATTATTTTCCTGAAACAAAATTGCTAGTTCTGAGTTTAGCAATAGAGAGCGTGTTGGCGGCTGTTACTTGACATTGACCTGAATACGTTCCCTCATGAATCTGATGGATGATGTCAGCATCGCTGTTGTTACAAGTGTCACAATTTCCCTTTTGTTATTGTTGTTTTTTTTTTTTAAATGTATTCTTCGGGTTATTTTTAACTGCCAATACATTATGATGACAGGCAAGCCATGTTTAAAATGTGTTCCAAATGCAATAACAAAAAATAAAAATATGCCATTTAACGAGACTGTGTCTTGGACCCATCTCCTGCTACATTTACTGCTAACTGACTCCTGCACTTGGTTATGGGTGACATCTGTGAGGTTGGGAGCCAGCAGATGCTTCCTTGGGAGAGGAGAGATGGAGGCCAACAGCTGAGCCACTGGTCCTTTAGTCCCTTCCCCTGGGGCACTGGGAGGTCTGGGTTTCACCACGCTCTCTCTCTGTCTAGCCTCAGACATTGCATTGTTTGAATTAACTATTCTTTCATTTGACCTTGATTTAACATCAGATACTGCCCTGTTCTCATGAAAGTGAGTTAAGATGTTCGGTCCTCTCAATTCTTTCAGATCAGCCTTCACTAACAACTTAGCAAGGACTTCCAGCCAACGACAGCATTTTACAAATGACCACAGCCAAAGAGGCCTCTCTTCAAAGCTGCCTAAACAGCTCGCTTAGAGCCAAGGGCAGACAGAGGGTCCTGCCACTGTGACAGGCGATGTCGGACTAATTTTTCAGGTCACAGCGCACTGACAAGCTGTGCAGATAGGAGCCCTAAAATACTACAGCCAAGTACTTTCCCAGAGAATCCAAGTGAGTGTGCGCTAACTTGAAAATTTATCGTGAAGAATGTGCACATAGATGTATATAAAATCACCAAAAAATTAATTTGCTAAGCTCCCCATCCAGCCTTTAGCATTCTTCATTATTTATTGGTCTGGGGGTGGGGCTGTGTCTGCCTTCCCACAGTGGTCTCTGCTGTGTCCACAGTCCTCATCACCTGTCACCCTGGACTTGGGTTGCACCTGCTCTACCTTGACTCCGTCTTGAGCGCATCTGCAAAGACTCTCTTTCCGGTCACTACCTTTGTCTGTTGGTGCCACTAGAACAAAACACCCGAGACTGGGTGTTTATATAAAGTTCAAAGGTCTCCTTCCTGCAGCTCTGGAGCCCAGGAAATCTAAAGCCGAGGAGCCAGCGGGGCAGTGTATGCAAGGACATCTCATATCTGGCACTCTCTAGGTGATGGCAGGACAGAAGGTCTGGAGGGGGTGAGGAGCCAATGTCCTCTGTGAAGGGAGGGATGTAGGTGGTGAGGGGCCAATGCCCTCTATGTGATGGGGGTCAAACAGAGGACTCTGCAGCCTGTAGCCCAGGCTTTGATGGTTCTGAAGCCCTCAAGCTGTGAGTCCTGCTGCCTCAAACCCTGCCATGCCTTCCCCGATGTGATGGACTCTGCCAGAGGTTCTGAACCTGTGGGTCACAGCCCCTTCACAGGAGTCATATATCAAATCTCCTGCGCTTCACACTTTTACAATCCAATCATGGTGGTAGCAAAGTTAGAGTTAAGAAGCAGCAACAAAAATAGTTAAGGTTGGTGGGTCACTACAGCATCAGGAAATTATTAGTAAATAAATTCTTAAAGGGTCATAGCATTGGGAAGGCTGAGAACCACTGATCTATACCTTCGTTTTTAAATTTATTTTTATTTCTGTGTAAATGTGTGTGTCGATGTGCAAATAACTACAAGTGTGGGGATGTTCTTAGAGGCCAGAAAAGGATATCAGGTCCCCTGGGGCTGGAGTTATAGTAGGTGGTTGTGCTAAGAATGGAATTCAGGTTCTCTGGAAGAACAGCAAGTGGTCCTAACTATTGGGCTGCCTCTCCAACCCCAGAGGACACCTCTTTAAAACATGAGACAAAAATACATTGCCCATCCCACAGTGACTTCTGGTCAAGAATATTCTCACATCAACAAGAAGGCTATTAAAGTCAGACGGTGTGATGGTCAATCATACAGGAGTCCACCACCCACAGCCAGGGCTTGGATGACAGCTTCATGACAAACCTACTTCTCCATAAGCCTGTGTTTCCTCATGTACATGCTTGAAATAACATCTCCCCGTTCTCCACGCTTGCACACAGACTGGCATTCACAAGTTTCCAGTCCCTAACTGAAGCATTTCGTTCAGGGAGCAGGGCAGCGCTTGGTCCTCAGTTCCAAGCCAGAACCCAAGCCTGCAGTCTGAGGGTCCCACCAGTCATCTCTGAGACCCTCCTTCGGTGAACATGCACATGTACTCATCAGCAAGATGGTGTGGTCACTTTCCATGTCCTTGTCCCTAACCTTCCAGTAGCTGCAGGATGTAAGGGCATCTGTGGCCCCAACTCCAGATCACAAGTCTATGCTCTACTGATTAAGCCCTGCCTGTTTGGGGTACCCCAGACACTAGAGGAAACAGACATCAATTTTCCAAGTACATATGTAATCACAACTTATAGAAATTCTAGGGTGGGGAGGGCTTGTGAGAACACAGCACAGGGGGCAGGCCTCACTGCGAAGAAACTGAGGTGACAAAGGTATAGATGTCAAACACTTGGAACAATCTAAACCCCATGCTGATGTTGGCTCTTAAATGGCTGACTAAAGGCAATGGCAGGGGTTCCAAGAAGAGGCCTGCCCGGTGGCTCACTGGTGACCAATGGTCTGTCTTTACAAGTTAACCCTTTGTTCAGCCAGCCCTGCCCCATAGTCGCCTGCAAAACAGTTTCATCTCTTTTAAATATTGCCTTTATTTTGACTTTGCTAATGAAAGAACCTGCTTGTACCATTGTCTTTGTAAACGGGCAGGGGCGGGTGTTGCACCCTACTTCCTGTCTGCTCTGACCTCTCGACTGTCTCCGTCATGAACCTGCAGCTGGCCTGTTTCCATAGGGACCCGGAGTGCCCCACCAGTCACCCATCTTGACTCCACAGAGGCTGCTGGAGATGACCCAGTGAATGTACACTGAGGCCCCCGTCTTCTTTTATCTCGGTTCTTAGTGTGATTGATTTGATAGCAATGACTTATACAGTTATTTTCACCATGGCATGGAATTTATTCCATTGTGTCTCAAAGCACGCGGATGTTCCAGTCTGCGTCCATAATCATGTACATGTAAACATCTGGGTTATGATCTGTCGGCCTAATGACTTTGATGTTTGTCACTTGCCTTTCATTTCCCTTTCTCGTACAAAGGACAGGAAACACAGTACTTGCCAGGGCAGCACCGCAAACACCCAAAGGGGCTTCACAATGTGCACCAGCTTCAGGCTTCAGGCCTGGGAGTCCTCCATTCCTTCCTGTTGATGTCAGGACTCAGAAAGGAAGTCACCCAGGAATCTGTGATGTCAAAGAAAGGCAGGGATGGAGATGCTGATGGATAGTCCTTTCTCCGAGGGGAAGAGAGTGACAGAAACCAGACCGCGGAGGTGGGAAGGAAGCCTGGCCTCGCCCTGCATGCCAGGGCCTGGTGTTTACTCTACGACAACATCACACAAGCCCTCCTGAAGGCAGACACCCAACAGTCACTTTCCTTTTCCTGACGTGTGGTTGGTGCCTTCACAGAAGAGGAAAGATAATCAACTTTCACAGGAAAAGCTTAAAGCCCAACGGTAGCAACTTGGTTTTTAAAGAGAACTATTCAAAGAGATTTTTTTGACTCGATATGTTTTCCCAAAAGAATTTGACAGTATTATGTTCAGACAGTCTTTCTTTCTTCCTTTCCTTTTTTTTTTCTCAATACTCATTATCTGAATCACATTTGTGAGAACCCAACCAAGGAAGCATACATAATCTGTGCCGTTTGTATACAGAAAACTCATGTAATGAGCCTTGCGAACTCCAGGAAGAGAGACACCGTTCTGGAAAACGTCGCATGGTATGTCTCACTCACTTATTCAATTACTGAACTCACATTTAAAAAAAAAAAGTGCGTCCAGGCAGAGATGAGACTTCATGGGTGACCACTCCTCTTTTCTCCCTTCTGCCCACTGTCCCCTGGTCTGCATCTATCTAACTTGATCGATGCACAGGGTGAGGAGCGAGGACCAGAGGGTAACGCTCACCCTGGCCAGAAACTCCTACGGCTGCCAACTCCAAACAAACGTTTTAAAAGTACAAAAGTTTCAGATAGAAGCAAGCAGCACTCTGGCTGGCGCCCTGTGGTTTGCGGCCACAGCACCACACTGTGCAGGCGTGGTCCTCAGGACACTGAGTCGTAAAAACACGATCAAGTTGAGTTTCATTTTCTCCCTGTTCTGTTTAGTCTGAAACATGTCAGGGTGTTCCGGAAGGCCGATGTGACACATAAGGATTTGATCAGAAAAATGAGGTTCTTCCTTCTGCTTGTTTTTCCTTTGTGAAACTGTAAGTACTCAGACAGGTCAGAGGATGGTGGTGTTACTGGAGTTTACCTCAAGAAGTTAGTGACCAGAGGCATGGCCTGCTATGGTTTGGTACAAAGTTCCTCAGGAAGCCTCACATATGAAAGGCTTGGTCGCTGGCTGGCAGTGCTGTTTCGCAATGTATTCATCTGTTGTTGACTTTACAGGGGAGTGGGCTACTAGCAGGTGGGTCCTGGTCAGAGAAGCTAGGTTACCGGGGCGCGCTTTTGAAGGGCATATATTTTTTCATGATAGTAGATTCCAATCAAGTTTTATAGATAGTGACAAAAAAAACCCTATTGAGATGAGGAAACCAAGGGTCTGTTATCAGAAAAAAAGTATGTAACAGAACATCAAAGATGTCAACATTAAAAATTAATAGCGGCTAAATTCCAATGTGGAATCGTAGGCAATTATCTTCTTCTGAAATTTTCTTTGTCTCTCAATATGCTTATCCTCAAAAATCTTATATTTAAAGAGTTCTATTTATTTTGAAAAGGTTAATTTGAAGTCCTTTGTAATATAATATGCTCCCCCTTTCATCTCCAATTTTTCATTTCAACTTTGCTCATGCCCATGTGTAGTATCAAGAATATCTGGGTGCTGGAGAGATGACGCGGTTGATTAAGAGTGCTTGCTCTTTGCCAGAGGACGAGTTTGGGTCCCACATTGGGCAGCTCAAAACTGTCTGTGACTCCAGCTTCAGGGGCTCAGACATGCTCTCTTGGCCACAATGGTTTTCTTTCTTCTCAGTTCGAGAGTCCCCTGGGCTCTGCTGGCCCCACTGCGTTTTGCCACATGGAAATTCTCTGAAGCGAGGAAGAGTAAGGAAGAAGTCTAATTGCTGTTCGCCGGCTGTCTAGGAAGGATCTTTGCTTCTAGGCTAAGTGCACAGTATCTTGAAAAGCATGCCCAGATTTTATCTGCTTGGGGGTTGTTTCCTGAGAGAGTGAGTGTGTCTGGTACAGCAACACACTGATGTACTAAGGAACAGACTACATGCTTTCAAGCTCACACACAGCGATGAGGATCCTGAAACTTAACATGGAATGGAGTGTCATCGGATTGGAGGGGAAATGTAGTCTGTCTCAAACCATCTGCACAGCTGTGTGGAGGTTTCCAATACGGACCAGAAGTATGAGTAAGTGGACAGAAGAACCTGAATGAATGGGAGACGGGGTGTGTCTGGGAACAGAAGGATAGGACAGCAGACCACGAAGTCCTAAGAAGGGGCCTTGAGCTTCCCTTATACTGACTTCTCTATGAACAATACTTAGAGCTGAGGGCTGGCTAAAAGAGCTCTTGCTAACACCAATTTTCCACATCTCCAAATTATTTCCTAATTTAAGCCTCTGTCATTCAGGTTATTAGCAGTTTCCTTGGTGTAGGAGGGAGATTTGCCTTTGCCTGCGGGCTCACGGCCAGCTTATCATCTTTTGCTCATATTTGCATAATTAAACAGCCCACAGAGAAGGCTTCCCAGGGAAAAGAAGATGCTGCAGGAAGGAAATACCAAGACAATATAATTCTGAGGAGGCAAATCAAATTTTGGTGGCCCCCGGAGACAGATCCTAGAATGTAGGCAGAGTTTTAAAATTACGCCTGCCAAATGAGTTTAGAAGTACATTTGGGTAACTGTGCATTCGGACTGACTAGTATGTGTCGATTATTGCTAATCATTGTACTTCCGAGAAGATGAACCTATGCATGCACACGCATGTACTTACATGTGTCCACATGTGTCCACATGTGCACATGTTTCTCTTGTTTGCAGAGAACAGGAATGGGCGGCTCGGCATCTCAGGAAGATTTGAAGATTCAGTCCAAGCCGGGCGGTGGTGGCGCACGCCTTTAATCCCAGCACTCGGGAGGCAGAGGCAGGTGGATCTCTGTGAGTTCGAGGCCAGCCTGGTCTACAAGAGCTAGATTTCGGTATCACTCTCCTGGTCCCCTTTCCCACCCTGTTAGTTCCCTTGTTCTTCCCAAATACTTCCCTTCAATTTTTGTATCATATGCATTATGTGTATGAAAAACATATAACTTGAGGTTATACACATGAGAAAGCATGTACATGTTTGTCTTTCTGACTCTTATTCTTTTAATTATGTGATCTCCAGTTCCATCCACTTTGCTGCAAATGAGATGATTTCATTCTTTACAGCTGAATAAATAAATCTCTATTATGGGAGTGGGGAGAGATCTGTCNCAGTTACTCTCCACTATGTAGGATTACAAACACTCATTAATGAATGTCCTAATACATGTATTGATGTCATGGCTCTGACACAGTGGTCTTATTGGGACAAAACAGGGATGAACCACACCCTCACAAGTAAGTGTACAGATGTGAACGACTAGAGTGTAGAGTTCTGTTGTTCAAGAAGAGGGCAGTCTGGAGGGTTGTGTCATTTGCTTGGGGGTCTTCAGACACTGTGCTGGGTCTCCAGCAGGACCTGTGGTAGGAAACAGTCTCCTGCAGGCAGATGGGCCCGGAGCCGGAAGAGGAAACTCAACCACCAGGCAACTGAAGGTGGCACGGAACAGCAACTCCAAACACCTCTTGGGATGGTTCTCCTGTCGACCTGCAAATCTCCAGTCTCGCTTGTGAATGGCCTTGGCCGGTTCTCTGCCCTGCTCTGAGGGATTAACGGTGTGAATGAAACAAGTGTGCACCATGGCTGAATGAACACAACAGCGATTTTTCTCTTAGCTGTGACCAAATACAGAAGCACACGAAACAAGCTCCAAGAGGAAGGGTCGTGTGGGCGTACGGCTCCAGGGCACGATACATCATGGCGGGGAGGCACGAGCGGGAGCGGAAGGCAGCTGGTCGTGCTGTGTCTACAGTCAAGAAACAGGAAGGGGTGAACATTGGCGCTCATCAGGATTTCTCCTTTTCTCAGTTCAGTCTACCCGGCAGCTGGGCCAGAGGCAGTAGTAGCAGGGTGGCTGGGACCATGGCGAGCAAAGACAGTAGCAGACAGACCTAGACTGGAGAGCCCTGTCCCACAGGCTGCGCTCCCTGGCCTCTCCTCCTCTCTCCTCCCCTCCCTTCCCCTCCCCTCTCCTCTCCAAGTTCCCAGACCTTGTATCTGGGGACTCAGACATGACCCACAGAGGATGCACTCACAGTTTTGTATAGCTGTGTCTCATGCACTATTTAGTGCATTGTTACACACACACACACACACACACACACAATAGATCTATAGGACTAGACAGGTGGCCCAGCTTTTGCATAAGACCCAAATTTTGCTCCCAATACCCAACTCAGTCAGCTCACAACTTCCTGTAACCTCAGCTCCAGGGGAATCTGGTGCTCCCTTCTGACCACTGAGAACACCTCTGCTTATGTGCACATACCCACACATAGATACAAACAGATACATAAATAAAAATAAAATAAAAATCTTAAAAATGTACTTATATAACTATCACAGGGGATTTTAGGAGCACGAATCAGTCATAAGAATTGATATCCAAGACCTCAGCAGCTTAGGCTGAACACAAAGAGAAAAGCAATGGCCACACATAACCATGTATGCTGATATGGACTCGTTCAGCCCCAAGCGTCATGAATATTCAGGAAAGGAAAACCTGGAAAGACTATGGGCTCACGGCCAGAGAAAACAAAAGTGGGGGAGTAGAGGAGCCATGGTGTTAATAGACGGACCTCAGAATGCTTCTAGAAAAGATCAAGGGCAAAGGGACCCCACAGATGTCAACAGAGGAAGCTGGAGGAAGGGGTAAGCCTGTGGGTTTTCACTCAGGAATTCCTGATAATGCTTCATGGGCCTAATTGAAGTCTGAAATTAATTAAAGGCAGTAACTTGTTTGGTCTCACAATCTAATCAGAACTAACACTGATTTTGAAGAAGGCAGCTTTGGGGGTCTCCCTCAATTCTACTGTGCTAGAGTAGGAATAGGTAAATCAACCAGGAAGGAATTGGGGGACAATGCCCTTCTCCCTAACCCCAGAGATTTCAGGAGAGTGGATCAGCGTAGGAGATGACGTCTGTCTTGTGAGTGACTGTCCAGACACTGGGCTATATGTAACTGGATATTGGAACGTCTGCAGGCTGGGCTCTCCTCAGGCAGATCAGAGCCCTGTGAATGGTCTTCTCTCTCAATTTCTTTTCTCCTCTCTCTTCTCTCTAACGTTTTTGGTTGGTTTTTGTTTGATTTTCTCTTTGACTCCTTTGCTGCCACCCAGCTCCCAAGCAAACACACAGGGAGACTTTATCTTGGTTATAAATGCCCAGCCTCAGCTTTGCTTATTTCTAGCCAGCTTTTCTTAAATTATTCTGTCTATCTTTTGTCTCTGTGCTTTTATCTTTCTCTGTTGCTATATGCCTGCTTTTACTTCTTACTCCGTGGCTTGCTGTGTAGCTGGCCCTTGTTATCCTCCTCCTTTTCTTGCTCCTTGATATCTCTCCCCAGTTTTCTATCTATTCTCTCTGCCTGCCCCTGCCAGCCTGTCTATCCTTTCTCCTGTCTTGCTATTGGCCATTCAGCTCTTTATTAGACTAATCAGGTGTTTTAGACAGGCACAGTAACACAGCTTCACAGAGTTAAACAAAGGCAACATAATAGAGTGCAACACATCTTTGCATCATTAAACAAATGTTCCACAGCATAGACAAATGTAATACATCTTAAAATAATATTCTACAACACGCTCATTCATCCTTGTTCTCCCCTCCTCTCTCTCTCTCCCTCTCTTCTCTCATTCATCTCTCTCTTTCTCTCCCTTCCCTCCCCTCCCTGTCTCTTTCCGCTCTCCTTTGATTCTCGCTGATAATTTGGAAATGACCTGCACCATACAATCTGAGCGGGCCTGTGCCTCCCTTCTCAGGGAGCATTCCAAGTGCTCAAGTTCCCAGGCCTCTACCGCCAAACTAAGAACTTTGGTACCAAGGGGCCTCCATTGACATGTAGGCTGTGAGAAAGCTTTTCCCGCTAGCCTGGTTTTTGTATGGAAATTAAACACAAGCCACAAGCACTTTCAGACAGCAACATCAAGTTATGCAATTCTCCTATAGAATCAATGGTTAGAAAACATTACCGATTTCAAAGGTCCAATGATTTGAGTGTTGAATGATTAATGGCCAATGCATTAGTTACTTTCCTGTTATGATAAAACACCGCAACCAAAGGCAGCTTAAGGGGACGGGGCGGGGGCTTATTTTAGTTTTCAGTTCCAGAGGCAAAAATGACACAGCCTGGAGGCAGGAATAGGAAGCCCAATTGACCACATTTTCATCAACACACGGGCAAACAGACAGAACAGGAAGCGAAGGTGAGACCGTGAAACTTCAAGACCCATCCCCCACCCACTCCCGTGATATAATTCCCCCAGCAAGGCTGCACCCTCCTCAAACAGAGCCACCACCTGGGGGCTGAGTGTTCAAATACATGATGAGATTCTGGGGACATTTCTTATTCAAAACACCACAGGTGGGAAAGCACATGGGGTGTTGCAGGTCAGTGGTTTTTAAGGTGATTGTTTGGGGTCTGCTTGGAGTGGGACACGCAGATTTTTACACTTGGTCCTGTCTTTCACCCCTCTTGGTCAGACAGCAGCTGTTGGCCTGTTGCTGTGACATTATCTTCAGGAACAAGATGCGCACGCATCTATTCCACATCCAGCCTGCACCACTCCCAGCCTCTGTGACGGCTGGGGCCCTGGTTACTGTGGCAGAGAAACCAGTCTTCACATTTCATCGTGGTTAATTCTAAATTCAAAAAGGTTCCCAGGGCGGGGAACATAACTCAGTCCTAGCATGCTTGCCTAGCAAACTTGAGGTCCTGAGTTCCATCCCAAAAACCAGGAAAAACGAAAATCAGACCCTCACTTCAGTTACTACAAAACAGAAATAGCGAGTCCGGTTTTATCCCAGGCTTTTTCAGATCCAGGCCAGCTGGCCTTGGTGAGTTCCCGATAGAACATCCCCATTGTCTCAGTGTGTGGGTGCACCCCTTGCGGTCCTGAGTTCCTTGCTCGTGCTCTCTCTCCTTCTGCTCCTGATTTGGACCTGAGATTTCTGTCGGTGCTCCAATGTGGGTCTCTGTCTCTGTCTCCTTTCATCGCCTGATGAAGGTTAATATTCAGGAGGAAGCCTATATGTTTTTCTTTGGGTTCTCCTTATTTAGCTTCTCCAGGAGGGAAATGGGAGGTGGTGGCAGAGAAGAGTCAGAAATCTTTAATAAATAAATAAATTAAAAAAAAAGACAGAAGACTGATTCGGCAAACCACATTTCAGCTTGTTTTTTATGTTTTTTTTTTTTTTGTTGTTGTTGTTGTTTTTTGAGACAGGGTTTCTCTGTATAGACAAGGTCACCCTAGAACTAGCTTTGTAGAACAGGGTGGCCTCGAACTCAAGGGATCCATCTGCATCTGACTCCTAGGTACTGGGATTAAAGGTGTGTCTCGGCCAATAAAACCATTTTTGGATTTTGAAAAAAAAAAACAGAAATAGAAACTTTCAAGTGTACGTATTGTGATGCTCAAATACAGAGTGTGCATTTTCAGGGAAATTTCAAGTATGTTATAATAATGTTGCAAAAACTTAGTACAAAATGTAGATTATGTTCATAAGACCTCATTTGTATTGCTACCAATATTTTATGAAAGGACTTTAGATGTGAGGGTAAGATACAGTCTTTAAACACAGGATGGACCCCTAGACACTTGACTGCTGAGATCCTCGAGTCTTAGAATCCTTACAGACCCTTTGCCCTTGAGGATTTTCAGACATCACCTTCTTCCTCCCCAGAGAGTGGGGGCAGCTGTTCCAGATAGGACAGAACCTGGGGAGCACTGGATTGATAAATGGGTCCTTCTGTCAGGTATGTGGGAACCAAGAGGAGAAGAGAAAGCCAGGGTTTGACTGGGTCTCCATGGCTGCCTGGATCTGCAC